TCCGCCAAGAAGCGCAGCGCACCTCTCGCCCCCCGTGCAAAGCACTGCCAAGTGAGCGACGTGAACCTCGAGGAGGGCACCTGGCGGCGCGACGTCGCCTACGAGCGGGGCGACGGCGGGACGGAACCATTCCGTGCTGGCGAGCTCCTAGGAGCATTGCGCAAGGGCTGGCGCAACGCTCTGCTCGAGTTCCCCGAGGAGGAACGCGCGAGGGTCTTCGAGGCCATCGACGATTGGGGACAGCCCAGGGCCTGGACGGACGAGCTCGTCGCTCCCTGGGCCGTTGACTTCATCAAGCAGCAGCGCGGCCAGAGCCTCGTGTTTGCAGACTGCCTCTCGAGCCAGTGGGCCGAGGAAGTCGCGCTCCGAGCGTGGCTCGAGAATGCGGCCCGCGCGCCCGTGGCCCCCGTCGCCACGCGCTTCTTGCAGAGGCCGGGCGCCCACGGGCGCGGCCAGCTCAAGTTCGTGATCCGAGAGGTCAAGGCCGAGATGCACTGGGGCCATGGAGCAGAACTGCATCCAGAAGGCCATGGCCGCGCCCCAGAAGCAGCGCAAGTCCCCGACCCAATGGGGGCCCTGCGAGCGCCTCTACTGCGTCTCCGAGGCCCGCGCCCGCTCCCGCGAGAAGAACAGGGGCGCGGTGCCGCCCCAATGGCTGCTAGCGAACCAAATGCTCGCGGTCCGGACACAGAGCAGGGCGAGCTCAAGGTCGCCACTGGCATGGAGCCGCGGAGCTACTCCGTCGAGCCCGGCCGCGGCATCGAGCAGAGGCTGGCGAGCGAGCGCCTGGAGGGCATGCAGACCCGTGCCCGAGTGGAGCGTCCTCGACGGGAACTGCTTCCACCTCGACGATGCGCCCAAGGACCGCGAGCAGGACGAGAAACCCTGCCTCCTGGGGCTCCGAGACCTGGACCTCGAGCTCACCGACGTGCAGAAGGGCGTGCTCAGAACGCCGGGAGAGCTGATCAATGATATCAAGTTCCGGCACGCCTTCGAGAACCGACTCGAAGCAGCGCGAACAAGTCAACGCAAGAGCAGGTGGGCGCCCAAGTTCTCAGGCCAGTTCGCGGGCAAGCTGCAGCGCAAGTGGCGGCGCGCGAAGGCCGAGACTGGCGGCGAGGCCTCGCCCGAGCACTGGTGCCGAGGCGTGGCCAAGGCGAAGCTCGCAGGCAGGGCGCCGAAGGCCAAGACGAGCTTCTCCCAGAATATCGCCAAAAAGAAAGCGAAGGCCAAGGCGAAAACATGCCTCGAGGCTTGCGAGGCCCCATTCCTGGCACGGCAAAGTGGTCCGCGCCGCCGAGGGGGGAGTCCACGGGGGCCGCCGAGGGGGGGGTCCACGGGGGCAGGCGCGGCGGAGCGCAGGACGTCCGGCAAGTCCTGGGCACCGCGCGCCGCCTGCGCGCCCGCGAGGTAGAGACCGAGGCCCGGAGGCTCACGGGCATTCGTTAGCTCCCGCCCGCTTCCGCCTGAGGCGGCGGAAGCTAGCGGAAGCGGCCGAAGCGACGGCGGAAGCGGCGGAAGTTGGCGGAAAGTTGGCGGCGGAAGCGACGGCGGATACTCGAAGCCACGAACGGGGGCAGGCGGGACTAAGAGCCCCCCCCGCCGCGCAACTCGACTTGCGCCAGACCACGCTGGCTCGCCGCACCGAGCTCGCCAAGGAGCGCGCGATCATGAACTGCGAGCAGATCGTCATTGGCGACGCCCTCAAGCTGGGCACAGCGCGCGCGCTGCTGGGCGAGATCGAGGAGCGCGCGGGAGTCGTCGAGACCGTTCTGGCGGTCGAGCCCACTGCGGCCGTCGCCTGGGCTCGCGAAGGCCAGGGCGAGAAAGGGCCCGCCGCCCATCAGCCCGAGGAGCAGAAGCGCTGGGCCGAGAGAGCCCACAAGGCCGAGCACGTCCTGATCTGCGTGCACTCCGAGGCGCCCGCGCGCTGCACCTACCTCACGGTCGGAGGTTGCTACAGTTGCCCCTGCCCCAGGGTGCCCCCCAGCTTTTCGCTCCGTTGTGGAGCGGGCCCTGAAGGCACCCTGGGCCGGGGGCACCCGTAGCAACGCCCGCAAAAGGTTTCGAGGATCGGCCGGGGCGTCGCGGTGGAGCGCAGGGACGCCCTCGAGCAGTCGTCCGAAAAAGCCAAACAGACTGAAAGGGCCCCGTGCGAACTCGCTCCTACGCCCCGCGATTTCTGAAGGGTGAGGCAGGTATCACTTTGCACGGATGCTCCCGAACAAAGTGAACCCGACCCCCCCCCCTCAGAAATCGTGTGTGTCTGTGTCTGTGTCTGTGTGTGTGTCTGTGTGTGTGTGTTGTGTGGTGTGTTGTGTGTGTGTGTGTTGTGTTGTGTTGTGTTGTGTGGTGTTGTATTGTGTTGTGTTGTGTTGTGTTGTGTTGTGTGTGTGCGTGTGTGTGTGTGTTTGCGTGCGTGCGTGCGTGCGTGCGTGCGTGCGTGTGTGCGTGCGTGTGTGTGTGTGTGTGTGTGTGTGTGTGTGTGCGTGCGTGCGTGCGTGCGCGCGTGCGTGCGATCGTGCGTGCGTGGGCGTGCGTGGGCGTGCGTGGGCGTGCGTGGGCGTGTGTGTGTGTGTGTGGGTGCGTGCGTGTGTGTGTGTGTGTGTGTGTGTGTGTGCGTGCGTGCGTGCGTGCGTGCGTGCGTGCGTGTGTGTGTGTGTGTGTTTGTGTGCGTGCGTGCGTGCGTGCGCGCGTGCGTGCGATCGTGCGTGCGTGGGCGTGCGTGGGCGTGCGTGGGCGTGCGTGGGCGTGTGTGTGTGTGTGTGCGTGTGTGTGTGTGTGTGTGTGCGTGCGTGCGTGCGTGCGTGCGTGCGTGCGTGCGTGCGTGCGTGCGTGCGTGCGTGCGTGCGTGCGCGCGTGAGCGTGCGTGCGTACGTGAGCGCGTGCGTGCGTGCGTCGAAGGGGGCGGGCAGGAGTAGGGTTCGCGCGTGGCCTCCTCGGGCCGCCGCGAGGATCCTCCGCAAGGTCGTCGCCATTGGCCCTGGCGAGTCCTGACCTGCGAGGAGCAGCGAGATGTTCCAGGGCGACGCCTGGTCCTGCGGCCTGTGGGCGAGTCGCTGGATCGAGCGCGCCCCGCGCGAGATCCGAGGCGAGGGCCGCCAAGCGCCCGTGAGCACGAATCCGATGTGCGCCCGAGGCAACGAGTGGATCAACAAGCTCAACGAGGCCAGCGACAACGACTTGGCCAAGGCGAAGGCCAAGGCCACGAGCAATGCCAAGCCCAAGCCCTTCAAGGACCCCGCGGCGGTCGAGCCGAAGCACGCCACCTTCGAGGAGGCAAGCGCTGCTGCCCGGACCGGAGCCGAGCGCCTCCCGTGCAAGGGCGGCCCCAAATGCTGCCGGGCCTGCGTGGGCGAGCGGCTCGATGTCGTGCGCAAGAGAGGTCTCTTGGCCAAGAGCGCCAAGGACCTCTCTTGCGCAGGCGCGTTGTAGCCGCGAGGCTCGAGATCTCTCGAATCAGTCTTGCGCCGAGGTCAGTTTACACGACTTCCCAGGATCAGCGTCATTATCCCCGCCGGACCCCCGAATCGAACGATCCCCCCAGGATCGTTATCGG